GTCCTCCACAACTAGACTGAAGAACAAAACGACAGCAACTTGTCTGTTCCCCTTCTCCCAATTCCCCAGTGCTGTTCCCATTCCCCAACTCCCCAATAAAAATCTTTAAAAATAAATAAATAAATAAAACGATGAAAGAAAATAGCAAGTTACAAAAGAATGGCTCCATTTTTATAAAAATTTTAAGTGCGCAAAGCTAAACTATAAGCTGTTTAGAAGACTAAACGTGATAAAACCATGAAGAAACAAGGAAAAGAAAAATACAAAATTCAGGGTAATACTTATCTCCAAGTGAGGAAGGGAAAGAAAGGGTGAGGCAGGGCGGTAGTCACCTTTCATCTTATACAAGATGGTAGCACTTGGAGTTTTCTGTACCATTATCCTTTCTACCTTACACACATTTTTCTAAAAATTCTATATCAATTCAATATGTAATAAAAAGAACTATAAATAAATCCATACTTAAACACATTGTTCATTTGGGTGAACTGATGTTTTAAGGTACTATCTGAAACATAACCAACTCAATTTGGAAACCAAAGCACTTGTTGCTTGCTTGGCAAAAGCAGGAAAGTCTCCATGCTCGTCAAGTTTCAATGTAATATCAAAGAAGAATATCCACAGTGATTCGAAATGGCTATTAAAACACTCCTTTTTCCAGCTACATCTTTGTGCAAAGCTGAATTTTCTTTATGTGCGTCAGTGAGAACGGACCACAACAGATTCAAAGCAGAATAGATATGAAAAGCCAGTCTTCCACCAAGCCCTGCCACTCCTCTCACTGAAGGGTTTGTTTCTCTTGGAAAGTGGTTATTTTTCATTTTTAAAGTGTTAACATGTAACGAGATACTATTGTTTTTAAAGAAATAAATATTTTTTTTAGTTTTAGTTTCTAATGCTGTAAATATCGATAAATACAACCCACATAAATAAAGCTCTTTCGGAGCCTCAATATTATTTAAGAGTATAAAGGTATCTGAGATCAACAAGCTGAAGAACCACTGAATTAGAGGATAAATTATGAAAATGTAATATTGATCAGAAGCCCAAGAGGAGTTCTGAGAGATTTAGAATTCACGTTGACATAGTCGGAGAAGGCTTTGTAGACTAGGAGGGGATTAAACTGAGTCTGGGGGTGTGGTCAAATTTGAGGGCAGTGGTGGGATGTACATAGAAAAGGCACTCTAGGCTCTGGGCATGGGGTCCAGCTTGAACGACAGCATGGAGCTGAGAAATGAACTTGAGGCAAGCAGAACAAAATCAAGGGTCCAGCCCAAGGAGAGTGGGGACTTGAGAAGTAGGACAGAGCTGGAGAGAGCAGACTTTGAAGGCCAGGTGGGACCTGACATAGGTGAGCAGGAAACCATCGTACATTCTTGAGCAAGGAAGTGGCAAGATAAAGCAACTCCATGACAGAAATTAGGCTGGTGACAAGAAGCAGAATAGACTGGAATGATTAAGAAAGCTAGAAAACCTAGCAAACGTCTGCCAAAACTCAGGAATAAGATGAGGGTGAAAACATAAGCCAGGATGACGTCTCACAGTTCCCAAGAACTGGTCTAGGTGACAAAGGTAAAGGGGATAATGTGTTAAATAACAGGGCTGGAATTAGAAGACTAGTGATAAGAGAAATTGGAGATGATTTTATAGAGATGCTATTCATAGCTTTTTGGTTAAAAGCTTTCTCCCAAAATATCCAGATTTGAATATGACAAGATCCAAAATATTTTCTAGGGGAGCTGCAGTCTCATATCTCTTTTAGAGTATCTAGATGTATACTGCTGATGGCTACAGAAATTTTAAGAATTTTAAATTATGTTGAAAGAAAATAAAGACAAACCCAGCCAGAGATAAGGCTAAACTCAGTGAAGCTCTCCCCTGCCTGTCCTCCTCCCTTCCTCCCCAGAGGATTAAAAACTCCATTTTTATCAAGATAAGATCTACAGGGCCTTTCATGAGCAGCTCTGCCATCTTTTGACATCCTCTCCCACTGCCTCACCCCTCCCTCCTCTTTCCACCACCTGCTCTAGACACTCATAGAGGGCACCGCCATGTTTTATTTCTAAGATGCCTTTTATGAAAGGAAATAGACAGAGGAAAGAAAGAGGTAGGACCTCACAAGCCATAATGTCATTGGCTAAAGAAAACTGCTATCTTCTCACAGCTGGTCTTGGCAGAGTTGATCTAGACAGAGTTGATCTTGGCAGAGAAGCTAGAATGGACTCGATGCATCAGCTGTTTCCCACCAGACAGATAATCAGGAAACATCCCACTGGATTCAAGAATTCCACTTCTCAGTATTTATCCGAAGGAATTGGAATCACTATCTCAAAAAAAAATATCTGCATCCCCACGTTCATTGCAGAATTATTTACAATAGCCAAGACATGGAAACATCAACAGATGAATGGAGAAAAAAATGCGTGCACGCATATACATACACACACACACACACACACACACACACACACACACACACTACATATATATTAATCAGCCATAAAACTGAAGAAAATCCTGCCATTTGCAACAACATGGATGGACCTTTAGGGCATTGTGCTAAGTGAGATAAGTCAGGAAGAGAAAGACAAATACTATATGATCTCACTTATAAGTGGCATCTAATATAAACAAACTAGATTCATAGATACAGAGAACAGATTGATGGTTGACAGAGGTGGAGGATGAGAGAGGTGGGAGAAATGAGTGAAGGTGATCAAAAGGTACAAACTTCCAATGATAAGATACATAAGTCCTGGGGATGTAATTTACAGCATGGTGATGCAAGGGTGGGGGAAGGCATTGTGCCAACATAAGTCCTGTTCAGTGGCACCATATAGGCAAGACTTCATTGCCTGTGAAAATCTTATGCTCAATAAGAAAGCCATTTCTCAAAGTGGGGTGAGCGTCCCTAGGGCTGTGCTGTGAGAGGAAAAGAGCTTGGAAAGACTGACTCTAAAAATTGCACAATGGAATTTTCCTGAGGGAGTAACACTGATAAGTGGACAGCCACAGAAATCCACCTCCACACCTTCAGGAACCGGGTAATGGATCCATGAGTGGCTCCCAGAGCGCCCCAGGAGACAGGCTTCCGACTGTCCTTAGCAGAGTAGGGAAGGACCTACCTCCAGGGTAATCATTTCCCGTGGGAGTGGGGTCGATGGGGACTTGTCTGGCAATTGAACCTCAAGCTCATTTTTTATCTCATCTTCCAGAAAACCTGAGGGAGGAAACCGCAACAGAGAACCCAAGGTGACTGCATATTCTCATACCTAAGTAATGGGGCCGAGCAGGACAAGTGACTTTCGGCCAGCTCAGCTGCCTGGATTGTTCCTGGGACCCGCCACAGGTCTCTAACCTCCCCCACCCTGACTCCAGGATCACCTTGAAAAGTATCACAAAGAGGGACGTGTTTGTTAATCAAGACCTGCCCACCATTTACCTCCCCGCCAGTTCAGTTAGACAGTAGGCAGAAAATTGGCTTACGGAGAATCCTCTCCATTGACTCACATCTTCTGACTTCATTCACAAATTTCCTTTGGAAGCTGTTCACATTCACATTTAACTAGAAGGGGCGGAACCACAAAGCACACATTAGTAGCAACAGCTGCCATATTCCCTTTGGTTATTGCATTACATATTTTTAATGCTGGAGAATGTCACTGAAATTATCTTCCATCTTTCCATGTACAAGACAGGTGTGCTACAGGCAAAACACACCTTGATGTGCTTATACTCAATCCCCCAAATGCGTGAGCTCTGGCCTTCTTACCCTTCTAAGAGGAACAAAGTCCTCTCACAGCTAAGTTTTCCCTACTTTTAGCTGCATTTTTCCATCCAAACGAGCCTTAAAATCCTCAATGGAGTCACGAATATGACAGGATCTTGAAAACTGCACAGATCCACGTGATGTATCATGGTCATCAACAAAAATTCAGCATTCTTGTGCTGGTGACCCTCAGCTCAGCCCAATAAATGTTACTGAGGAAATGCTCATGCGAGGTCCTGTGCTAGGAACTAGGGACGCAAAGAACAAGACATGGTCCTTTCATGCAGGAGCTTAGTTTTGACCTTGACCTTGATGAGGAAGTAAGGAAGAGTAAAGAGTCCAATTTTCTAAACTGGATTCAAAACAGCTTGATAAGGATACGATATCCCAACATCATGCTTAAGACAGTAGCCCTAGGATGTCACTCTAGGGAGACTGTGGACTCCAGGGTACTTCGTCTTCAGACAGACTAGTCAAGAAAAATTGGTTTCTGTTCCTAGGACGAGATCTGGTAATCCATGTACACACTGGATCTATCCAATGCCTTGAAGCTGCTACAGGAAACAGAATACAACACATCTGACATGCAGCGACTGTGTTAAAACTTCAAAACATTCCTGCAGAGAAGACGGGTATGGAAGAAGGGCGACCATGTTTGCAAGTTACTTGCCCAAGGCTATCACAAATCCTAGTCAGAGGACTAGAATCATGGAATTCCATCTGTCCCAGCTCAGGGTTTTTCTTCCTGCACTTTGTTCACTACCGAGAAGTGGTGAGAAAGAGAGGCCAACAGCCACTCCAACCTTCCTCTGGCCTCCAAAGAATGTAGTACTTACATCTTTGAATTGAACCAGTCCAAGCTCTCCAAGCTCAGAGACACAGCAGTATGCAGCCTCCACCTGGAGAAATAGCTGTGACAAACACATCTCCTCACTTCGAAACACAGATGCCATCTTGACCCAGCTTTGGTCTGCAGAAGACAAAGATATTTGAGATAGTAAATGTGTGAAGAAAACCTTAGGATGAAGATTATTTTTTGTTGTTGTTGAGCTAAATTAAAACCCAGCAGGAAAAAAAATCCAACAGGAATCACTTCTGATTTTAAAAACAAAAACAAGATAGCACTTTTCACCACCTATATAGATTGGCAAAAGATTAAAAAATATGACTAAAGACTCATATTGTGGAGGGTATAAGGGAACAGGCATTTTCATACACTTAGGAGTTGAAGTGTTAATTGGTACCGCTTTTTCAGACAGCCATTTGTCAGTATCTATCAAATTTTATATTACTCATACTCATGACTCAAGATTTCCATAAGGATGCTTCAGATAATGTTGTACATAATAATTATAATAAATGGACCTAACCTAGATATCCATCAACAGGGGAATGGTTAAACTGATACAACAGAACACTGTGCAGTCAGTAGGAATAAAATAAATCTGTATATCCTCTATATGGAAAAAGAATATTCATCTAGAATCTATTTCCATAAAAGACCCTCTAAGGCTGCCCAACTGCTACCAAACAAAATTGTTTTCCCCAAAGTCCAACCTTCTGGAAGAACTATCTCACTTCTACAGTGGACCCCTTTTCCTTGAGTCATTTTACAATTTATAGAGTATCTACTATTTGCCAGACACTGGGTTTATCCCTCCTGTCCTAATCCTTCGTTTCATTTTTCCCACAAGAAAAAAAATCTAAATCCCTTAACCAACAAAGGGCTGCTTAACCTGGTTTGTGTTCCCTCCAGGTTCATGACTCCTCACACTACTCTGCAGACACACAGAATTTCTCCTGGAGCCCCCATCTGCCTCAGGACCTTTGTCCATGCTTTCCCCTAGATTTAGAACCTCAACCCCTCCTTCTCTACCCCACATCCCCTGTACCCCACGTACTCCTGTCATTTCCCAGGTCTCAGTGTAAGGAACCTCTTCCTCCACAAGCCATTCCTGACCACAACCAATACCCCAGTGAACTGAGCCCCCTCCTATATGCTCCCAGAATATAAATTATCTGCAGTCACTTGCTTAATGTCTGCCTTGCCCACTAGCCAGAACAACCCATGAAGTCAGACCTTTGTGTGTTTTTCACTGTATCACCAGTCTAGCTCAACCACAAAGCAAATGCTCAAAAAATGATTCCTGATTTATTGACTAGAAACTAACCATCTTCCCTCCCTCCAGAATGCATAGCCTGGGCCCCTATTTTTGCCTTTGGCACAGAAATGAATCAACTTTTCATAGTGCCCTTGCTGATAAATAAGGTAATGCTTTCACAGAAGGAGATAGAAGACATTAGCTTCACACAGACCAAAAAGCACAGCTTCTTACCCCAGCTTCTTTCGAGCAGGTCCAGGACTGGGGCTGCGGTTCTCCAGTGACTTCCTTCTCCTGACCCTTTGGCTGTAGTCGCTGCACCCAAGTGGCAGCCTGGGTGGGACCAGCCTGGCTAGGGATTCCGCAGGCGTCCTCCCTGCAGTGCGGAGCCCCGAGCACTGAGCCCTTTCCCAGCTGCAGTCTTCTTCTCTGGAGCCGGCAGAGCCCTGAGGCAGCTCTTGTTGTATCAACACCAGCCTGGGTAAGAACAAACCTGCCCGCCAGCCTGCTCAAATCCCCACCTCCCTCCACCTTACCTGTGCCCTGGGCAGCAACCTTGGGGCCCCACCCGGAAGCAATGACTATCTTCTCTAAGGAAAGTAACTCACCCCCCCAGGGAGGGGAGGGTTTGGGAAGAGGTGCCCTGAGACAGGCTTCCAACACCAACACACTCCTTCTTTTTATGGTAAAAATGAAATAACATTAAAAAATAGTTTGGAGAAAGAAGGAAAAAAATTACACGGACCCTATCGATAATTATTTTTCAAAAACACTTTACTTTCAAAGGAGAATAAACAGACAAACCTTTATAAATACCCAATGGCTAAAACACAGCCTCTATGTGATCCAGGTATAAAAGAGACAGGCCCAGATGTGAGGTTTACCCTTATCCTCCTGTCTTTCCCATTGATTTGGTGGAGGGGTAAATAGCACAAGAGTGAGCCAATTAGATGCGTTTCTCTTGGCCCAGGATTACTCTGCAGAGGCCTCCTGCGATCATACTAACCAGCTTTGCAGAGCAGTTGGGGGGTTAGGCCCCTGCGTGTGCTCACCTGGGGTGCCTGTACAAAAATCACACCCCAGAATAAGGGGTGCTTTCTGTTTGTTTTCTTTTGTTGTTGTTGTTTTACTTTTTATTATAGAAAAATTAAAGCATCTGCTAAAGTCTAGGGAACAATGCAGATTCTGCCTCCCACCATCAGACCACAGTCAGACCATGTACAGACCACTTAGCATCAACAACTGAATTTTGTATCATCTATACACTCCTACCTGCCCTAGCTTATTTTGATGCAAATCCTATATATATTATTATTTCTTGCAAAATATTTTAGTATTTATCTCTGAAAGACAAGGGTTCTTTCACACACACATACACACACACACATATAGTTGACCCCTGAACAATGTGGGGGTTAGGGACACTCACGCCTCTTCCCTTCTCCTTCTCTATTTCTCCCCCACATTCCACAGTTGAAAATCTGCATATAACTTTTGACTCCCCCAAAACGTAACCATTAACAGCCTACTATTAACTGAAAGCCTTACCAACAACAGTCGATTAACACGTATTTTGTATGTTTATATATTATATATATATAATATAGAGAGAGAAAAGAAAATATTAAGAAAATCATAAGGAAGAAAAACTACATTTACAGTACTGTACATATTTATTGAAAAACATCTGCATATAAGTGGACTGCATAGTTCAAACCCGTGTTGTTCAAGGGTCAACTATATAGTATATGATACTATGGTCATGCCTAAAATTCCACGATAATTCTGTCAAATTTCCCAGGTGGTCTGACATCTGCCTTTTTAATAAATCCCTCAGGTGATTCTTGTGCATGATCATTAGAACCATCGCTTCTGAGAACACAGGGTGAAAAATCTCATTTGAGCAGAGAAGAGCAGGAGGTAGGCCGGAACCATCAGCTGAGAAGATGCAGGATTTTGAACCTGGGACAGTGGAGGCCAGGGCCTCTGAGGGAGCTTGCCCGCACCTGCCCATCCCAACAGGGCAGAGCCACTCAGTTCAGACTCACCTGGGGAAAATTCCAGAGATGGAACTCAGGATGCGCAAAGCAGAGCAGGAAGACCAGAGCTGGAATCTGTGAACGAAAGCACCAATGCAGGTTCTGCCTCCCACCGTCAGACTAGCTCCGGAGGGAGGATGAGCCCCAGTCGGTGCCTCCCTCCTCCTGCCCCTCCCCCTGCCCACCTCTCACGCAGCTCTTCACCCCTGCTGGGGTTGGCTGTGTCTTCTGGTCAGCAGTGGAGCAGTAGTTCTCAAATGTCCAGGTGCCCAAGGATCCCTGAGAAGCATACAGAGGAAAAAAAGCACGTTTTGATGGTGAAGAACAGAGAGGAGTCAAAGCCAAACTGCCCGAGGCAGGACTCTAGCTCTGCCACCTACCCTGTGTGACCTTGGAGAAGACCTTTAACCCCAGGGCCTAGGGATCCTTATCTGCAAAACAGAAAAGGATCTTGGATATTTATTTAGAATGTGGAAGTATAGAAAGGAGAGATTATTTTAAAGTTTGACTTCTTTTCTCCTAAAGCCCCAAGTCAAAGGGGCGAAAGGCCAGCACACTCATGTGACCCTGGCAGGACTACAAATGAGTGCAATCATTTCCGAAAGGTGACTTGCATGTCCTTTGACCCAATAATCCCACTGCAGAAAGTTCATCCTAAAAGGAAAAGAAAAATTGTAAGGATGTAAACCACAATTTAACCACATTAATGTCTGTCGCAGCACTGTTTGCAGTAAGTGTAATAATTGTAAATAACCTGAATTCTTTCATCTGTTCAATATTTATAGAGCGTCCATGTGCCGCTCTGTGCTGGGCTCTGAGGATAGGGCAGTAAATAAGAGATGAGACGCCACCCTCATGAAGGTTACGTCCCCATGGAAGGAGACAACAGTAAACAAGGAATAAGTGAGCAAGATATCGCAGATTATGAAAAGGGCAATAGTGGAAAGATCGGCTTTAGAGAAATGATGAGAGGCTACTTGAGCTGAGCGGTCAGAGCAAGCCTATCTCAGGAGGTAGCACTGGAGCTTAGGCTTGGAAGGTAAAAATGAGCCAGTCTTGCAAAAAGAAGCTGGAGGAAGGGTATTCCAGGCCGCTGAGATGGCAATGCAAGAGCAGGGGACGGCATCCTTGCTACAGCGAATATATCTAGAGTATCTCCTACGTGCTGGACATTGTCACGATTTCAGATAAGGACTTTATATGTATTAACCCAGTTAATCTTAACAGCTGTATGAGGTTGGCGGTATTCTTTTTTTTTTAAAGATTTTATTGGGGAATTGGGGGAGGGGAACAGACAAGTTGCTGTCCTTTTGTTCTTCAGTCTAGTTGTGGAGGACGTCGTTTCACTGGCCCATGTTGGTATTATCATTGTACTCTTCCTGGGTGAGGCAGTCGCTCGCTGGCCACTGGACAGCCAGTCACGGCAGCTCACGAAAGTGCACGCCAGCTGCTGGCCAGCCCCACTGCAGCCTACGCTGTCGCCGGCGACTCACAGCAGCCCAGCTCCAGGTCGAGCTGTTGTTCACCATCTAAGCTGTAGAGGGCACAGCATCACCGGCCCTCATGTGGGATCTGAACTGGGGCCCTGCTGCTCAGAGCTGGCATCCCAAGCCAACTCTTAACCAACGCGCCACTCTGCCGGCCCAGCGGTATTCTTATTCTGAAACTACATATGAAGAAACAGAGGCACAAAGAGGCTAAATGACTTGTCCAAGGTCACATGGTCATTCACAACATGTCATGTGACACTGAGTCCTTATTTACAACTACTTCAAGATACTATCTCAGGGTCTGAAAAGCTAACATGTTTAAGAAACAGAGAGGAGGCCAATGTGGCTGGGGCATGTGAAGGGCGGGAGAAATAGTGTGAGGTGTGTCAGAAGAGGCAGAGTCAACCATGTGAGGTCTGATGAGCCAGTAAGAAAACTGGATTTTATTCTAACTGCACTGGGAAGCCCTTGAAAAGTGTGAAGCAGGTGAGTGGCATTACTTGATTCGCATTTTTAGAAAAATTACTTTGACTTCTGCTTTTGGAAAGCTGAAGAAGAGATACTTTTCCTTTGTAATACGTAAAACTAAAAACCCTAAACATTATATATACAACAAATATTAGAAGACTCTAAAAGGTAGAGAGAAGACAGAAGTGTTGGGATTCTCTGAGTCGAGAAACATCTCAGAGATGAGCTCACTTTTTTGTTGGTTTTGGTTTTCGAACCTCATATATTCTAGACTTGGTGCTGCAGAAACCAATAAGATATGCAGACAAAAAAAGTTCCAAAGAAAGCCTGCTCCCTCTGGACAAAAGATGAGGAAAAGGGCAGCCTAGCAAGAATAGAAGAGTTTCAGGTAATGATCACTCTGATAGAGCCAAACATCACAGAAGAAACTATGGCCCAATACTACCCATGTCCGCAGAACCCAAGAGGAGAGCCCAGACTTCTACTCTCATGGAACTATACCAAAGCGACACCTCCCCATGTGGTATGAGAGAGGCCTGAACTCCCAGCTCCACCCTAAAAAGGCACCCCTTATTAACCTGTGTTTCGGTGGTGTCTGAAGAGACCTAATCAGAACTTTAAGCGCTGCCCATTGGTAATGAGCCTACCCCCTCACTGGGGTACAGAGGTCATGTGGAGAGCAGTAACCAGGCACTTCTGCTTCTCCCAGCCAGGGTCCATGAGTCGAGTCAGCAGAGGTCTAGGGCGCAGAAGAATAAAATGGGACAAACCACTCTATACAATTTTAAGATGTACTGTACAGGACGGTAATCAAGACCGTGGCGTTGGTGGAAAGATAGACACATAGGTGAATGTAAGAAAATATAGAAGCCAGCAATAGCCCCAGTCCCATCAACTGATTTTTGACAAAGGTGAGAAAGTTAATTCAGCGGAGGAACCATATAGTCTTTTCAACAAATGGTGCTGAAGCAATTAGACATCCA